CACTGGGGAAACCCAGCAAAGACGCTGGAGGACTATACAGGATGCGCACTGAAGCCAGGCTGCATCCAGAGCTGAAGAACAGCCACATTTTCAGCTGAGCTGCCCTAATCCAAGTACTGTTTCATGAGGTGGCAAGCTCAGGTTAGCAGCATTACCGCATGGGATTTAATGGGATTTTTGCAAGGAGGACTCAAATTGTAGCTTAAGTAAATAGTCTCCAGACAAGGTAACGTAACTCCTCCAAGAATATACTCGCTCTCAGCTTTCAGTATTAGAATTTGCTTTATTTATTTGTTTTCACCAAATGACAAGGGAACTTTACTTTTTTCTAGGGTAGACCTGAGAAAGCAAAAAGAAATATATTTCATAGGGTGCAATTATTGCAGAATCAGTATTGGAACTAATGGCACTAAAATAATTGTTGAAAATGAAGCCAGCTTCTGCCTCAAGAACTCACAGGCAGAGAAGATGGATTAAATATATCACTTTCATTGTACAGCACTATTTTATGACATCCAATCAAAGTAAACAGCACATGCATTTATTTTCAATTGCTGCCTTTCAAACACATAAAACCACGAAAAGAATAAAAAACAAATCTTCATTTAAAAAAGACTGTAAAATCCTCAGGAACTACCAGTGAAGCAGGCTAGTAAAATTCCCCTTTCTGCTATTTGCACAAAAGCATTTGTTAGAACAGCTATGCATGACTTGGTTAATACCATGTACCTGCAGCAGAGGAAGCAAAGAACAGACTGTAACATAAAGGGTTTCTAAGATCTTCTGTAATAAATACCTTGATCTTTATCATGTGAGGACTTGACTGGAAAAGACTTTTGGAAGAGACTTCTTTATAAAGAATTGAAGTTCCCTTGCTGTCTTGGCATTGGTAATATGTTTTTTATATATACATAAACATGTATGTATGTACACACACACATGCACACAAACCTACAGATTTCATACAGATGATAACTGTCAGGAATAAAAGAAGAGTAAACCAAAAAAGAATAAAAGGGGCCAAAAGACCTAACCTATGCAAAAGCTTTATGTTCTATGCCATGATGAAGAGCAGCCCTGTCATGACTAATTTCCCTGCTGACAGCTCACAAGAGGATGAAAGCCATGTTGAAGAGGTAATCTCTTGTGTCCCAGCAACTAGCATGCACAAATATTAACGTGGTTGGTTACAGGACAATGATTACTTTGTTCATCACTCCCTGGAGGGCCACCCACAGAAGGGAAGTAAGACAACTTACAGTGATGGAAGGAGAAAAGAAGGCAGAGTCGGAAGACTGGCACTGATGCGATGTCGGCCACCTATTCATGACCAGGAGAACTAGATTGTGAGCTAGGATTTTGTGCCAGTTCAATTGCAAGGGTCACTAGATTGTTCTCCGCAGGCTTCAGACACACAGGAGAGCATGTCTGCTATACTGCTGTTCATAATATCCTTCACTTACCTTCCAAAAACTGTATGCTTCTTGTCCAGATATGCACAAGAGCGGAACGTGATGAAGCTGGAAGGAACAAAGACACAACAGTTAGCGTATTATCTCACTGACACGCAACAACAGCCAGTAAATCTTAAAAACAGAGAGTGCATGCAACAGCTTTCTGAGAGAAGACAAACTCCTCTCCCTCTCTGTCTCCTTTCTAGGAGCCAAACGTCCTTTAACTCCTCTGTTTTGTGGGTTTCGTCTTGGATTTCTGGAGTTTTGACTTCTCGTTTTTACACCTCACTAACATCCCTGAACAGTACTCCAAGAATGGTGACCTGCACAAAGTCCAAAATTAACCTAAGTATCTGCCTCCTCGGCCAGGCAGCCTTCAGAAGCTCACGCAGGACAGGGAGACATGCATCCTGCTTGAAAAGTACATTTCTTGTGCACGATTGGGAGCTTGAATCCAGTAAATACAGTTATAGAACACAACGGTCTCTGCCAGTGTAAACTTCTACCTTTTAGCATATTTATTGTTTGCATTTCTCTTCCATTAAATTGGCCTGTTGGTAATTCATTTCTCCTCTGGACAGAGAAAGTTTGTGCTTCGGATACAAACATGGCAGTAATGAAAACCCGTGAAACTTGGACTTTTTATTTTTAATTAATTGGACTTTTAATTTTGGGGATTGTGTTTTTAAACTTAAACATGGGAACTAAAATACCAAATCCAAAGCAACCTTTACTAGCACAACTTTTCTCTAAAGCTTCATGCTTCTTTGGAAGACTTGGACTACAAGCATATGAGACAGAGGTTTTCACACTGTGGTCTGCAGACCACGATGGCCCATCTTGGCTGGACGTACAGTGCTGGCTCTCCTCCCTGTCTCCATCTGTTACATTACATTAGAGACAGCTAAAAATATATAAGCATTCCAAAAGCACTTTTCCATATAAGCGACTGCCTCAGGAAGTTATATGATTGCAAATAGAAGGGGCTGCAATCTGCCAGACAATCTATTAAGACATGGCTTGCCCTAGGAAAGCTTTGAGATGCTGTGCAGAATGCAAACTCCTACACAGGGCAAACATTACACCTTAGCCTTGTGCATGGGTTCTTTGCACCACTTTATTCCCAGATATCCAATACCTAAGATTATCTAGTTGTGGCATTGTAATTAAAAAAAAAATAAAATCTGAGCAGTAGCAAATATACAGAGAAAGCTTCTCATCCATCACTGCAGTCAAAATAAAATTAAGGACAATGGAATTGACATAACTCAAGATGATCCCAGAGGAGAAGCCCTGAGCATTATTCAAGCATCACCTTACACAGGGGACTCAGCTCACTGTACTACAGTGTCTGTCACCTACGGGGAGAGCTACTCACCCAGTTTTTAAGGTCACAATAGTTGCCAGAAGTGTCTAAACACTGCCTAGGAAGCTTTATAAATATGGGCAGCTGGAGTCTCTCAAGGACTTTACACTCAAAGGAATTTCATATTTCATTTGCAAATTTTAGGTAAACATATGATCACATTTATGGCAGCAGATGATGTGACTCAATATGGCACATCACTCATGAACTGTCTATAACTTCTGCTTCTAGAATCCCCCTTTTTCTGGTTTGGGGTTTTTTTGCTCTGTGTTTTTTTTTTTTTAAAGCCTCTGCTCTCCCCTAATTTAGCACCTGAGTGCTGGCAATAACATTCAAATCCAAAATAAGCTCTACAGCAACTCGATCCTGCAAACTGCCCAACATGCGCTTAGCCCTAAGTACATGACTAAGCCTATTAAAGGCTCTGAGACAAGCACTTGCGTTTAATTAAAGCTAACCACACTACTGCATAGTTTACAAGCCATAATAAGAACCCCCTTCCCTCACTCCCTAGTCCCAACACACAGTACTGAACACACACACGCACTCCCTCCCTCCCTCTCTTTACTGGGGCTCCCAGTAAAGGTACCACTTTTTTCTATTGCAGAACATCGTGAGTAACCAACAAATAGCTGGCTCAAAGCAATACAGAACATTTTCAAAAGACTGCAGGCAAAAACCCGTATTAACGTTGCACACAAAGAATGTTATTACAACTTCAATATCTTTAAATTTCATTTGTTGTTCTTCCTGTTTCTTCACTCATTTTTTCCTCATTTTAGTCTTCATTCTGCTTTTGTACATTGAAAACCAATTCTCAATTCCCACTCTGCACTCTGCCACAACTGGGTTCTACGCATTTCAACAGTGCAGAACTGTTCTCATTTATTTAAAATCAGGCAGGCAAAAAGAAGAACATTTCCACAGAGTATATATTTCATTTCATTAAGCCCTTTCAAAAAGTTCAATATGGGGCTAAATTTAAGCAGAGGGGAGAGGTGTAATGATCTTACAGGGATAACAGTGGGGGGACACTGGCAAGAATGAACAAAAACTTCAAATCATAAAACCAGAAAAGACAAGTTAATGACGACATAATAAACCTACAGGTCTTCTTGCCGTGCTTCACTTTGCTCTTAGATTGGGTATCAGCAGCTGTAGCTACCCTGATTTCAATATGCAGCACTTGACAGAATAATCCACTTGACTGAACTTTAAAGAGGAGCTTGTAAAATGTCATTTGTTTTCTTAACAGAGTAAGACATAATGTCTAGAGGGAAACAATAAAACACAAAAAGCAAGTGACTACTTACAACTGCGATTTGTTTGTGTTGGGTCCCGAATTGGCCATACTAAGAACACCACGTCCCGTGTGGGACAAGTTTGGCTTAAATTCATCTTTGAAAGGTTTTCCCCAGTAAGATTCTCCTCCTTAAAAGAGAAAAGATGACAGAAGAAATGTTTGTTTTCATTAGTTTCCCACTACATTTAGTGACAGGCGCTGACATTAAATTCAAGGTTTCTGGGACTTCTGATTACGATGTGTGTAATGTATTATTACCCCATCCCTATCGCTAGGCCAGTATTTGAGCATGCCCTTGAAATCAGATGTCTGTAAGTGGCAACACAATTCTGTGCCCCCACACTATCAACTGCAATAGATCAGACTGTTTATCAACAGCGTTATATATTGCATGCCAAACAACTGTCAAGGGTTTAATTTTTTACTGCTGGTCCACCATGATTTTTCTTTTTTGAGACATTAAATCTTTAAAAGTGGCTTCATGACCACGCATAGAGCAAAGAATTACTAGTTTAATTGCCGTCTGGATATAGCATTGCTTCTGGAAATAAAATACCAGGGAGATGAAATACGTTCATAGAATCAACTAAGAACACGAGCTATACGCTCAAATGCTTAATTCCTGGTTAAACAATGAAGAATGATGATATATATTCCTCCAAAATAAAAGGCAAAAATTAGATATTTGGCCTAGATAGCTGGATGATGTAAACACTTAAATGCAATGAAGTCAAAAGGATGATAAAAATTTGCACAAACCGCAGACCCAGCCCTCCAAAACTGATTTCTTTTCTGTCTGTGAATAGCAAGAGGGTCTGGGAGACCTCTCCTCCTGGCTGTAATTTTTACATTATTTATGACAGATCTGACATTTTCATTTGCACTTTCCTCCAGGACCATTCTTAATAAGAAAAATGAAGGCTGAGATGAGTCATAGTTTTACAGTCAAATCTATGATCTTGTTTGACAAACCATGAAAAAATATTTCACCTTAGGATAGTATTAAAAATAAACCAAACAAAACTATCCAGACAGGCAGCAAGACTGGTCCATCTGCAGAACTGGCTCAAGAATCCTCTAGAGTAACTGTATCACTTACGAAGCAGGAGGTCAGTAAAGGATCTGTAGGGCTCAAAACCTAGTTGCACATGTGATACAGAAAGCCAGCTTGATGCTACGGCTGCACAGGCAAGCAGCACATGAAACTGAGGAATAAAGCAGGCTCCTACTAAAAACCTTATCACAAGAGTGCATCAAATGAGGGAAGAGTTTCAGATGATACCATGAAAACAAAGCATCACAGGTGGACAGCTGCAAGTCCAAGTGGAACCAAGCAAGAAAGAAATTTTGGAAGAAACTGACCCACTTAAAAACCCAATTAATCATGTTCAAAAGACCTGATAATAGACTTGAGTGTTGCCAACTCTGCAATTTGACAAAAGGCAGCAAAAGGGGACAAACCCTGTAGGGATTTTCTGTAATCAGGAGTAGAGGAGGAGTGATTACCTCAGCAATCTTTCGCTATTGAGTATTTTAAGATCAGCTAAATTACATCAGCTTGATCCTGTATGTCAATCTTTTCCAGTAGTGGGTGAAAGGGATATGGTACAGCTGCAGCCAGCTATACTGTCTTGAAGACAGATCCAAGATCCAGCTATTCTAGCCAAATCCAAAGTGTTCAATTTATTAGAAAGTGTCTTATCAGATGCCAGTAATTTTCATTGCTAATGAATCTCCTTGTATGTTCCTATTTGCTAAGAGATGTTACTTGTGCAGTGCCTTAGTTACCTGCCTTGTTCAGAAAAACAAAGTTCTTGTGGGTTAGTAAATAAACAAGTCATGCTGAGAATATAGCAAGGCTCCATGCCAACAGGTGCTGCCCGAAACCAGAAACACACCTGCAAAGCCTGCAGACTCACTGCCCATCAGCAGCACTATGCTCTGCGCACTATTTGTCTTTGCCTTTCCCAGTTATTCCTGTTCCACTTCGATCTGGCCTGGTGGGGCAGCGCCCAGGATGGGCTCCCCGCCTGCACCACCGTGCTGCTGCCATGCCATTGCTTCAGGCCCTGCATTCCTGTTCTCAGCCACGGCCAGAGCTCCTTGCACCCGAGTAACGGAGTTCACTTGGATTTCCCTTAGAGAAATACATATTTTTGCTTCAAAGGATCTCTTGAAGGAACTCCTAATTATTTGTAAAGCAGATGCACTTGCTATGAGTCTTAGCCTAGAGGAGTGTTTGCCCTCTAGAAATTTTCAGCTGACACGCAAACATGAACACATCGCACTGAGATGGTACATAGCAGCAAGTGGCCAAACCTTGGAGTCCGTTACACCCTTCATATGCTTCCAGCTGATGCTGGAATTACAGCATTGTCAAGCTGCTGAAAGAGGGTGGAATCAACCCTGAAGCCTTTGCTGGTCAGAAAAATAATTCAAAAGGAAAGAGAAAAATTGTGAATGACAGAGAGACTCTCTCTTTCTGGCACAACAAGCAACCAGACCCAAGAGCTTGCAGACAGGAGCAATGAGCCATGATCTTCAGGGTTTGGAATATTTATTTTTGTATGATTTCATTTCAGATCATACACTGCAGGCCAGAATTAATCTCATATGTACGAAGGCTAACTTTGTTTTGTTCCAGTTCTCTGGAAGTAAGTGCTATTATTTTCGGAGATAGTTACAGCACGAGATGCAGTCCCTGCCTCCTGCTCTGTCTGCCATACATCTGTTTCCAAGGCTAATTCTGTCTGCCTGGGAGCTGCAGGCAAGAACAGAGAATGGCCTGTGCAGCATTCGCCTAAAAGGCCAGACGTCCCATAAAGGACATAGCTGAAGTGTCTGCGGAGGCCTGGCAGCACGGACTGGCAAGCGGCGGTGGAGACGCTGCAAAGGCAGCAAGACAGCAGTACAGGAATGATTTGGGGTTTGCTGTTTTTTTAAAGAAAAAACCCTAAAGTCTTAATTTAAAAAGGCTTTAAAAAAAAAAACCACAAACAAAACCAAATGTATTCTTAAATTAAAAATAGCCTGAACATGCTGTTTGTCAAACTCCTGCTAACCTCTGGAATCATTCCAGGCTTCAAGTATCTGCTTGAAGCAGGACCAGACAGAGCAAGCCAGAAGATGGCGAGTTAAATGTATACATTATTTTAATTACTGAAACCCAGAATCACTTTCCCTCTGAAGATTAAGTACAGATCCCTTGTTAGTCTACTGCCACGGCAGCACAGCACCTAATGCTCAGCCGGGGGCTCTGGAACAGGGGTTTTAGATGCTTACATTTCACTCTCTACAGTAGACCTCTATGTAAACTTGGGAAAATAAGTCACAGGCTCCAAACCTACTGCTAATAATTATGGAATATTCAGAAATATCTAGCAGATATTGCTGTGTTTATTCTCAAAATGGTTAGGACGTGTGTCTGTGCCATCTTCCTCATTTTCTGAAAGCAGAATGGATGCAGACAGACAGGAGGTGGGACCGTCGCACTGCCTGGCTCTAGCCCTCTCATGTTACAGTCCTGATATCTGCCATAAAGAGAGGAGGCTCCTCCTTATATTCCCCAAATCTTCCTCTGAGAGCACACAGATCACCACTGACTATATATGGAGTCACAATGATGCAAAAACCTCACCCCAAGGCTGATGTGCCAGCCTACAAGTAAAGCCCATGGAAAACAAGAATTGACTCTGGGTGTCAGATTCACAGCAGGCAGCACTGCCTGTCACTTCACCTTCCTCTCAGCTTACTCCCTGATAACATTATCTTCTGTCACAGTGGAGCCCTGTGCCTAGTGGACTTGCAAATGTTTCTGAGATCCTATTACAAAAAGTGCTGGAAAAAAATTCTGTGCTAAAAATCAGAAGGCTTCACCTGGCAGCAGACATGGCCGCACGCGGGTGCTGCCACTGGCTGGGCTGGGGCTGGGAGTGCGAAAGGGAGCCGTACTTATGACCCTGCACACGTGGGTCTCCTGTTTGCACAAAGATGGAAATGTACTTGGGCTCAGCCACAGAAATACACTGGCCTTTGGACAGCATTTAACCTGTACAATGTCAAAGCCTCCAGGAGCCACAAAGAGTTTTTGCACTGTTCTGTAAAATAAAAATCACATGTCAACCCAGATACCCAAGATTCAAAGCTAGGGAGCTTGGAGCCAATTCCCCACATTTTTAATACAAGAGAAAAATTCTCTTAAATTAAAGAGGTGTTTACCTAATTCTCACACAGAGATGAAAACAAACAGAACACACAGCTCATAGAAAAAATCAGACTGTATTCATCATTTCCATGGCTATCCAGAGTCGCAGGATATATTTAGCTTGTAACTGAAGCACGGTTAGTTATTCAGTCTCTTATCTGCATCTTGTGCTCATAGGGAAAAGGTGAATAGATCTAAACTGACATCTGAAGCAATCACACATTAGCAACTACAGAGAAAAAAGCCACGTTTTCACATTGTCTTTTGAACTAAACCAGCTTACTCTCTGGTAGTCTTCGTTCATTATAAAGACCTTTTTTTCAGAAAGTAATTTTTTGGGTAAAATTACAGAATTTGTACAACTGTCTTGCAAAAAGCTGAGAGATGCAACTAAAGCTTCAGAAATGTAGCATTCCAAAAGCCAGGTGTGGGCTGGGAATCATCATTCATGACAGCTGCGATTTAAAATAAATCCTTCCTTTTTCTGGCATAAAAATCGCTAAGCAGTGGTAAGGAAGTGGGAGGGCTCTGATTCACAAAAATGATGGCTTACTTTCTGTAATTTTCTTCTTGTCATTTGGAACAAGGAGGTACATAATAACATCTGACACTTCCATAGAGCTTTCCAAGTGAGATTCTTGAATCGTTTCACAAATATGAAAGCCTTAGCTCAACCAGTAAATGCTTCTCTCCTATCAGATAAGAGGACACGGCACTTTTAACCCCACATATCAGAGGGGCTGCAATCTAAAAGGAGTGTATTGCTAGATAAAAAGGTCTTGCTTGTCCTTTTACTGAGCTTTAATCACGCACGAAAAGAGGCTCTAAAACTGGTTATATTTTAGGAACTTGCCTTGTTAGGAAATCACATTGCAGAAATTACCAAGTTTGTCCACAGTCCTTTGCTACTGACAGTTCAGAGGAGCTCTGCGTGTTGTCAACTAAAATGCAATTCCCATCTACCAGTGGTATTTCATCTTGGACTTCTACAGCTGTTACCTGCCCCCGTTGTGCCCTCCTGGATTCATAAATGGACAGGGGCACAAACAAGCCCATTCAGGAGACCTTCCAACAGGTTGTAAGTAAGAGTAGCTGAAAAATGCCTGGCTGCTTTGAAAATGTAATGCTTTGCATTTAGTTTTCCCTTTTTCATACAAAAGAGCTAGGATATTAAATCTATTTTTCCTAGTGCAAGTTTTATTCTATTATTTGGAACACTGAAAATACAGAGCAGCTGCTCCACTTGCACTAGCATGAGTTAGACAGAATTACTCACAATGTTCAACCACTTAGTTGTTATGAACAGCAGGAAAAGAGATACATCACAAATATAAAATTCATTTTCAAAGAATTAATCATTACAAAGAATGACCATGACTCAGCTTATTGCTCTGAATTCTGTCTCTACGGGTGGTTATTTTGTTAGAAAAGAAATAAGCTGTTGCAGCACAATAAAATTTCTCCCAGTAGTCTAATGAAATATGAAGTTGAAGGCTGTAGAATATTAGGTTGGTCCTCTAAATCAGTGTCAACCCTACAGGACTGTATATTTAACTGCTTTGGCAATGCAGGTCTGCCAGCTAAGCTAAGGTAAAATTCTATTCCCCACTCTTTTCCCAGTGTAGTATCTCAACTTCTAGATGCCATAATGCTAATTTCCACCCTCCTCCATCGCAAGGTTAATAGCCGAGTACCAGGAATCAGTTGTCCATCCTGTGTGTGCTGGGTCACAGTTACTTTTATGACAGTCTAACAAGAGACTCAAAAAGGACACATTGGGGTGCTGAATAACAAACAAAAAAAGAGAGAAAGATCAGTGCTGCTTACAGATAGGACTGTTCAGCCGGAGTAGCTGTGGAAGTGGACCGTCAGTGACAACCAGCTTGGCATTTTACATCTGTGCAATGTTTCCAAAACACAACCACACTTAATCTAGGTGAGCTGAAAGCACAGTTGCAGTCTGTGTACGTATGACATGTAACCTTACATCCTGCTGTACTGAATGTGGCCAAATCCACCCAGAAGCCGAACAGTCCTGGGCTTAGTTAGCAATGGAGTGGGTTATCATCTAAGCATTGGGGTGTTGCAACCATAAACCTGACACCTGTTGCTGAACACGGGATGAATGTCAGATGACAGAAACCAAATGGTGGGAAGATTCTTGAACAAGTCTGTTCTGGTTCCTGAGCTGATGAACAGGAATAATTAAATAAATATATGAAAACAAAAATATATACAGGCTTAATGCACCTTCCACATATCAGTTTCGAAAAGGCATGGGTTTTTTAAAACAAACAAACGAAAAACCATCCCAACCCTCTTGGCCAGAAAATGTCAGTCAAAGCAGACAGTTGTATGTGGAAAAGGAAAAAAAGGGTGTTCTTTTTTTCTGAAGTCTTCCTATGAAACAATTCTGGCAGTTTAACATATTGACGTTCAAAAGGTAACCTCCAAATAGTCTTCCCTATTGCCAACTGAAGTATCTGGGAAGAAAGCCCTGTTCTACTCTCATATGCTTCTCTGGTATTGCATAAGTCAAGTTATTTACTCCTCCCCTTTACTCTTAAAGCTCTAAAGACCATTAAATCTTATGGACTTTTTAGCTTTCAAAGATGGATCTTTTAATTTTTTTCCTAAGAAGCAGTGAGTCATACTGAATACCGAAATTCCTTCCAGCTGCCAGAAGAAATAAAAAAGGGAATCTATACTGCAAATAACATACAAGACCCAAGTAAAAAAAGGTACAAAGTACTGAATCCCAGTGCTTTACTCCAAAGCTTTCCTAACATGAATGCTTCATGATCACAATAATAATGCACAAACCAACAGACCAACATTTTTACACCACTGGAGCCTAGGAGAGCATCATTTACATTGGTCATGTTCTTACACCACTACCAAGCTGTACCTTCCTCTGGCCACACTGCTGCGGAGAGAACACAAAGTCAGACAGGCACCTCAGGTCTGCCTACCTTCCTACAGCATGTGGCTTGAGACACGCAAATGAAATTTCTGCCTCACACTGAAGTGCCCAGGATCTGTCAGGAACAAATCCTGACAAACTACTTGCACTCTGTGAACTGTCTAAGTAGCTTCATTTAAGTAAGTGTTCAACACACAGGCGTGACAGTTCAAGAGAAATCTAGTAGCCTACCAGACTGTCCATTTACAACATTTTCTTGTGATATTATCATATTCAATAAGTGATTAAGTAAGGATATCTAAAATTCAGCTGTCTTCAAAAAATAAAAAACACTCAGTTGCAAAGAAGATAGTTGCATCATTTGGACTCTACAGTAATTGTAAATAGTCTCTAAAAATCTGCAAGACTTATATCTGTTTGAGCGTACTGTCCATTTTATTAGAAGTTTAATAGTATTGACAGATGTTTGCAAGATCTCTCGTCTGCAATAAACGAACATTAATAAGGACTGACAAGGAGGAAAGCAAGATGGAAAAGACTCATTTAATTCCTTTTTTTAAATAAAAGAATATACATAGGAGGCTTTTTCTCCTATGGGGTTATTTGCATTTTACTTCCTACTTGCTTTGCCAGTAGAGCTGAGTCTTGACCTTCAATGCAGCTGCACTCCCAGTTCTCTGCCACTGTTAATTGTACTGTCTTAAAATACTTTTACCATTTGCACAAACAGAGACAAGAACGACACCAGCAAGTTAATTTTCATTCCACAGCAGGATCTGAACTCCACCCTACAAGGGTGAAAGGTGTCTGAGTCAACCCATTAAATTTCTCCCATCTCCTGACACCTCTTTAATTTCTCATTTTAAAAGATGTTCCTAATTATGTCTGTTGGGATTTGAAATGAAACTTTCCTTATAACAAAATCAAATCACATTTCTTGTGACAGTCCAAGTATATACAGTAACAAATCTCATTAATGGGCTTTTGCCATCAAAACACAGAACCTTTAACTAGTCTCAAATCTTAGAGTATGCAACTGTTAATTATCACATGCAGTAGAAGAAAAGCTGTTGGGTAACTCACACTAACATTGTTTACAAAGTAAACAGAACTAAAGTATTTAACAACTACAAAGACATCTTTTTTGGATGACCTGTTAGCACACACAGAAGAATATAGTGCTTGCATATACAAGTGACATGTACGAACTAGAATAAAAATGCTCAGAACCCCACAGGGCCAGGCGAGGAGCAGCTGTGGCGGCTGGTGACATCTACAAGTGGGTAGATAAAAGGTGCAAGTGAAAAATGAACAAATTTACAGCAGCAACTAGAGATGCTACATCACATATCTACTGCAGTGTGTAATGCTCTGAGGACCCTTTGGCTGCTATTTTTCCTGACTATTTCTGATATGACTGTTATTCAGATCTCCAACTAAGGGAGAAAGATAGGCAGAAGAATTTAGTAACAGCGATCCCTAAAATTTAGAAAAAGAGCAGCCTGGGCTTCACAAGGCAACTAGCTGGGAGAACAGATGGTATCTGGCCATTCACCAGTTCCGAGGCAGGTCTCAAGTATTTCATTAATGCTGAATTTGAAGGCAACTTTGCATGAATGTGTTTCTTCCTTTGTTCTTTGCCCTGGAAGGCCAGCTGTAAAATCATTATAATTTTCATTTATTTCTTTTCTGGAACAAGAAGGAAGCAAAGACCCAGCAAGAATTCTGCATGGAAGACTGCCCAAGTTTTAGACTGAGAATACATTGGATGAAATTTTGAGCACAGTTAAAATGGTCATAAAAATATAGTGATAAAACCTCCGCTTTAAAGTAGAGATACTCACAATGTACCACATATCATCATTTAGAGAATTTTAATCTACAAGGTGTCTGGAAATAAACGTAACAACACAGCGCACAAAGTGAAAACAGGTCACTTGATTCAAACTCAACCATACCTGTTCCTGTTCCAGTCGGATCACCTCCTTGGATCTGCAGAATTAAAATCAAATCAATAGGTTATATATATACCTGTCTGAAAGACATTAAATACAAGCCATAAAAGCCAATTCCGCTCACTTTTCTTCCTTCTATATTGTGTCATGTTGACAAGCTAGCAACAAGGAAACCATTACTACTTATCTGAACCTTCTTTTATCAGCTGGCTGTCATCTCCTACATTACTTATCCAAGAACAGAATGACAGTTTTATAAAAATAATAGGTCTCTTGTGGGTAAATAGGAAAAATAAACAGTCTCAAATGGGTTAACCAGATCATATTTTCTATTATGTGCTGAGTCCTGCTTTTTAACTGATGATGCATTGCTTTTGGAACTGAAAAGGCTTTACATTTTGCTACCAATCCTCCACATGACGGGAAGGCAAGAAATGAGGGAATATGGAATATTTTCTGTATCTGAATTTGTATTTCCCAGTATGCCCCTCACTGTCTGCAGTAGGGAAAATCCTCATGTGAAACCAATCTTTCAGCAGCAAAATTAATCATTGTATATACATGCACGATCTATAGAAAAAATATTCTATATTCTAATGCCAGTAGAGGGAGCGTGACATGACTAGTTTTGCAGCAATAGCACACAAGCACAATTTCAATTGTGAGTTTAACTTTGAACTGAGATATACAGTGCTGTCAAAAGAAAAAAAGCTTTTTTTAGGATGATGGGATGGAATGTAACATTCAGCGTTGTCCCCTGAAGGATGTGCTCTGCCTTCAGGATCAGTTTGTTAATTCCTCTGAAAGGAAAGTAGAGGACAGCTACAATATCCTAAGATGCCTGGACTGTGCCTACGTAAATAAAGATCTTTGACTACCAAAGTCAGCCTTCTGGTTCACTAGGTGCTCTTTAACTCCTTCACAAAGAAAGCCTGGGCACCTAGTCCTGGAGCGCACTCAGGAAAGGATGATCGGACAGTATCCCAGTACCACAACCTGAAACAGAAATTCAGCTGCTTTCTAAAGTTTCAGCTGAATGGTATTCCAGCAGGCCACAGCATTACTTATCCAAATTAGCATTCCCCCCCCACCCCTCTCTCTCTCTCCTTCTGTTCATTAACCACCCACCCACAGCTTGGGGAAGATAACAAGAGCCTTGCCAAGGCAATGACTCTGAAAGGCTTTGTCTGGAACACCAGCAAAAGCACTACTAAATGCAGTGATGCTCAAAGTGACAATACTAGTCAGAGACAGCTGTTACTAAGACTAGTAAGTACAAATTCAGTAAGTTAGGACAATCCTAGTTCTGATGGTATATTTAATATACACCTATTGCAAGTTGTCATGTGCAGAAGAAACTAAAACTTTATTAATTGAAATAAATATTTTGAGGACTTCACATGTCATGCATCACACAGCATTTCTTCAATACTCACCACAAAATTCCGAATTGATCTGTGAAAAATTGTTCCATCATAATAGTTCTTCTTGCACAATTTGATAAAGTTTTCACATGTTCGGGGTGTCTGAAAGACAAATGGAACTTTTATTTAAGCAATACCTTTAGACAATCAAATTGGTCACTACACTGTTTATGAGAATCACTTTTCATTTGTGCCTTGCAAAGCAACAATTATGCATGTCCCTTGAAGAGGAATGAGTATCTGTCTACAGAAAAAAGGTATAATATATGGTTTTTTGCGGTATACTGGAGAGACATACTATGCTCAATAAATTAAACCTAGACCCCCCAATTAGCACAAACAAGTGTTGAACACTAGCTCAGATAATGTGAACTCCAAGTACACATAGTGATGGTGAAAGCAGGTAAGCTCAGAGACTTTCAAGCAACTTTGTTCCAGCAGTGTACCATAATCCTGTTCTAATGAGGGACTTCTAGCACTGAAAAAAGTTAGTTTCCCAGGGTAAGGAACATGAATTCTCTGCTCCACTATTTCACATTGAAGGTAACTGGGAGAGAGGTTTTTGGTCCTCTTCGCCACTTGGAACTGAAAATGGGACTGACCCCACAGGTCACCGGACCATAGGAAAAATAAAAAAAGACAACTTGTTTTCAAAAATCTGAAAAAAAACCAACCAACCACACTACATATATTGCCAACTTCTAATTTGCTTTTACAGTGCAAATTAAAGCTATTCATTTGAATTTATGAGCCATAGCATTCAAACAGCACCTTCTGAAAAACTTTACCTAATTATCCTTCCACTGCAATTGTACGGATTCTCTTCTCTGCAATATTACAGTACCTTCACATGTACAAACACAAGTACAGAAACAGCCTGTTTTCTATACTTGGACATATTTTCCAGCCCCACTGTGGATTATGTGCATAAATATATTCTGGTTTTACAAAAGAATATGTCTAACTAGTCTGAGTTGTTACAGGCCTTGAAAATATCCTTATAGTTGTATGTGCTTGCAAGTAAAGCCCCAGCGTGAGTCACAACGTCTGTAAGTGAACACAGACAAGACTCAAAGCCTGTTTCTGAAAGACACTGATTCACTTTGCATTGGTATGACATCATTCTTGGTCTGAGAGCTGCAGAAAGACAGAGTGAAACTGAGTGATGCAACCTGAAGTGACTTAGAAGAAAAAAAGTAAGGCAAATCCAATTACAGTCATTTAAGGATGAAATAATCTCCATCGTTTTAAAGGCGGATCCATAAAAGTATTCATCCAGAATCATACAGAACTTCAGTTATCTATATTTTCTCATTTGAAACACAATCATTCTCATCCCTCTTCATTGACACTGAAATGTCTGTTAATTATCCAAACAAAGTCTACCTGCTATTATAAATTCTTTATAATGATTCCTTCTTAATTACTCTACACAGATAGATGACAGTTAACTGTCAGCTGGGCCATAACTGGAAAAATAAATAAATTCTAATACAATCTTACACCAGCTATCTCAGATTTCCTACATAATTCATTACTGGGTTAAAATTGTAATGGTACCATAATGGGTTTACAGTAGAATGCCACTAGGACATATTTTTGTAGCATCGTGAGGGCAACTCATAAGTAAATACATTCCATAAAAATTGTTTCAAGAAATAGGAGATTTTCCTACAGTTTCAAGATTTATAGCAAATTTGAAAATTTTTATTTGAATTGGACATAGATGCTTGAAAATAATCTTTGTACATAGCCTTTCAACTAAAATTCAATCCCTGAAGAATCATTTGTGCAGCATATGCTTCCTTTATAAGAAAACATCACAACAACCTTGATCCTAACATAGTGCTATTAGTTATCACTCATGAAAAATGTCCGTAAGGATAAAAGTAAGCTTAAAAAATTTCTTTATGAATCAGAAATGGAATCATCAGCTTTTAGCCTAAGGCACTTCATCTCATGAGAACCAAGCACTCTTTGGAGAGAGAGACATAGTTAATAAGTTCTCTGGGGGGAATACAGCAACCTGTAATTAATTTTTTAAGAAAAATGAAATCAGGCAAAAGACTGAGTCCCCTAGGAATACACACCAAACTGTTTTAAATTTGCACAACACTGAGAACTCAATACAGATTTCCTATTTATTTTCAAAACATGATTTGTAAAATATCCATAAAAAAACCTGTCTCTACCGATTTATTTTTTTATGTCGGACCTATGCCGACCCTTATCTCTAAATGGATTTCTAGTTATTGTGTCTTTTCCCAGAAACAAGCTTTTCAAATGCAACTACAGAAATATTTAGTATGCATGCAATAAACATTTCACTGCAAGGTTTTCTTTAAATAATTGCCACCAAATTGGTTCCCATGATCACCTCATGCATCATACAGATACATCTGGCAGGTAAACAGCTCCTTAGCAACATTACCATTACCTTTTATGGTGCTTTTTAGACGACACAAATAAAAAGGTTTGCATTCAATCAGTAATAAACCCCAGTTTCAGTCATGCAGTTGATCTAGAATATCTGGCTCATATTATCTGATTTATTCAAAGCAGTTAATGTTCTTGCCAAATCTCACACTGCCAAGCACATTTCAGGGACTTTGTAAAACAGTGTCCTGTCCAAAGCAGACGAAAAACGCTTGAGGTTTATGGGGAAGGTGTAGATCCTAACTAATGAAGTTACATTCTGCACTGACCATACAAACATAGCTAGTCTTTGAAGTCTTTGTTCCAACTACAAAGACTGATGAGAAATAAATATAAACAAACCTGACTTTGTTATTTGAGTGTAAGATCTTGTGGAAGATGTCAGACTGGCAGTCTTGGAATGCAGAACTGCGTACTTCTTCAGAAACTTCCTCCACACCACTTGCCTCACACCATTTCTGAAGGCGGAAAGGATGATCAAGGCACCTGGAAATGCAATGCTGGTTTCTTGTTGCCTCATTATTGACAATGGACTCCAGGCTCTCTTTGTACTTCTGGCTGTTCTTGTCTCAAACTGACCTCAACAGCAGCAGCTAACTTCTCCCTCTTTATTCCTGTTACATTGAGCAGGAAATTATTTAAAATGTTTTAATCTGCTGACTATGACTTAGACATACATGTAAGAAAGTCAAGGGAAAAATGCCACCTTAATTTGTTAATCTGTTGATCTGAAAGCCACTGACAGAAAAAAAAGTTATGTTTTAAATCTACTCTAGTATCTTCTGAGAAGGATGCAGTGATAGCTCCCAGAAGTCAAATTTAAAAATTGTGGAAGGCTTTTCTCTCCAAAGAGTGTGATAGGATAGCCCTGAAAAATTCTCCTTTTCTTTGGTCAAGTTGGGACCACATAAGCAAACAGCGTCTCTGTATGATGTCCTTCAACTTGAAGACAATTCCTTCTCCAAAAGACAAACAGTAAGAAAAGAAAATAGCTTATTTACATTAAACACCACAAAATGAGTCTCCTGCTCCAAGTATGCTCCCCATTTATTTTGTAGATGCCAGATAACTGTCTTTCAACTGTTGAAAATTCACACCCAAGACAAGTGGTAAAATTTTAATAAATGGTTTGAGACAGGAATCCAGAAGAATACTTATCCCAGAAGATGAAACAAATGTCTTGCTTGGCTCACAGATATGTATATTCAATGGGAAACTGCCCAATGGTTTTCTAAGTATGTTTAAGTCTCCATTTAGCTAACACACTTAGTAGGTAATTCTACGTGGATATACGAGCACTTTACTAGTTACTAGGCCTGGACAAATTTCAGAATTGAAAAGAGATTGCTACTATGACCATGCAAACAAAACAGTGACAAGAGGCTGACCATGAAATCATGGATACTGGGAAAACACTAAAGAAAGGAATATAAAATTAAAAAAAAAACCAAAGCAAAACAGGAAAAAAACCTGAGTCCTTACTATAAAGTTCTAGAAGAAATGTAGATTTTATCTTACTCCCCTTTTAAGTATTAATCGAGCCAATTTTCACTTCCTTTTTGCCAGGAAGGGTGGCTCCAAACCAGCCAAAATTCATCTCTCTTGCCGCATCCCGAGACCTGAGGGGTAAGACTAACCAAGCCAGGTCACTGTCTGCTTTCTAAGCTTGCAGCTCTCCTTTCTCATCAGTTAAAAAGGGTCATTACGTCTGTATAAGTTACCTTAACTCTGAAGTTTCATTGGGCAGCTGAAGCGCCAACCAGAAGTAGATTAAAAACCTGCGGCACTCCTGTTGCCAAGGTGCAGAAGATGGGAAAAGAGAGGAGCTGCTGAGGCGTTGCCATGACTGCAAGAAAGAAGGCTTTACTGTGTGAAGAGCTAATCATTTCAAAATGCTCCATCCCTTGAGGATCTGCACGAACCTTGAAGAGAAATTTCACACTAAGCATTTAGAAGCTGTCATTCGCACATCTGTATCATTTCCTTGTGCTAATTCCACTTCCCTTTTATTTCTTTTTGTCTCTCTAAATTGGATGAACTGTAGTAGTTGCACTAAACTACAGAGCCTTAATATATACTCATTAACCCTATGTTTCAAAGCAGAAATAATCTGAAATAATGAAAAGCTTGTTCCTCACAAATTAATATTGCATTTTACAGCCTTCATCTTATCACACAAATGCCAGAACACCGCTACTAAGAGCCATGAACTAGTAATGGAAATTTCTAAAGCTTCAAATGAAGCCTGCAATTTTTTTAACATAGATCTCCTTTAAAATGCAAAGTGGATTTTGTTTTGCTTTAGTCCATTTATGTACTTTTTTTTTTTAACATACAGCATTTTCGCTCTTGTAATTGTTCATTCTAGCAACTCTTCTAATGTGTGAGCCCATAGAGAGGTGATTTGATAAGGTTTAAACTCAGTTCTTCCCATCCCTTTCAATCTGCAATCTTTGTAGACTACCCATCCCACAGGAAAAAACTCACCCTAATAAAAGCTTGGCTTTATTTAGGGCTTAGTCAGAGGCAACTGTAATGGAGCAGTTTTGGGAATCACCATTTATCAGGTGCAAGTGTCTGTTCCCTCCATTAAGTCATGGAAAGGAACTGGACATATAAATGTTTCTAGTGCATTTCGATGTATAATACTGTACTGGAAGGCAATT